AGCTATGTCTATCTGATATATTTATAATATGATAAAACTACGGTATCTAAGTGAATCATAAAGCTACTATACTTTTATATAGTACTGTACCATGTTCTTTGTTACCATATCCTTCATCATGTTATAGACATTTCCTAAATGTTTAAAGCCCCCTTTTTGCTATACATTTATATATCTTAGGAAATAGTATCTTATTGTAAACACGAAAAGGTATGTTATAATCTTCTTTAGTTTATATAACCTCTACTGAGCTTGTTGGTTATTATATTCGCGGTGATTACATATATCCTTTTTTTTATATTGTTTAATTAATGTCTCGAAAATGTGCACCTCGTGTGTTGTCTATGCAGGGAGAAGAAGATTTTTAAACAAACTAAAGTCATCATTGATAAAATGATGATGTGTAGTAATTTTAAAGCGTCATTTGTCCTAACGTACATGGCATGTCGCGACAGTCAGCATTGATTATAACTTCATGTACTTCAACTTTAAAAAATATTTTCCCCATACGCTACATCTCTTTTTTTAAAGAGGTGAAAACGCACCTGTATTGCAATCTTGTTTCAGTAAGTATCCCTTCTTTTTCGTTACATGATTGTCTTATGCATAGTATGTTAAAATCTGTATACGTTGTTTAAAAGAAATTAAATGACAACCTCGCTTACTGAATTATTGGGAAGTCTGGATAAATATCAAATACAGTGAGGTTTCTTTTCCATTGCCGCATCTTTGTGTTTATATAAATGACAAACTATACACCTGTCTACACAAANACATATACAAAGAATAAAAAATTACCATATCTACACATAAATAAAGAATAAACAATTACCATATCTACACATAAACAAAGAATAAACAAAGACCATATCTACACATATACAATGAATAAGCAATTACCATATCTACACATATACAAAGAATAAACAATTACCATATCTACACATATACAAAGAATAAACAAAGACCATATCTACACATATACAAAGAATAAAAAATTACCATATCTACACATAAACAAAGAATAAACAATTACCATATCTACACATAAACAAAGAATAAACAAAGACCATATCTACACATATACAAAGAATAAACAATTACCATATCTACACATATACAAAGAATAAACAATTACCATATCTACACATAAACAAAGAATAAACAATTACCATATCTACACATATACAAAGAATAAACAAAGACGAACAAGGTTATAGCATGTATCACACAGACTGACATACCCCTTTGGTCAAGTAAACATAGATATATCTGCCATCGATGATCACACGAGATATATACGCTAACTGATGACATTCATCCTTTAGAGACATGTTAGATATTAAATCGTTCACAACAAAATACATGTCTGGCTACTATAGTTTCATTAACGAGGGGAAGTAACTCCGAACTGGTTAAGAACACACTACAAACACAGTTAGCCTGAGTATCATGTTGCATCTGAATTTTTTAATAGTGCAAGCTTTAATAACATAGTCCTTTAAGAACACCTTGGTCCGTATTTATGAAATCATTATCGTGTTTAACGATGAACGGTACACACAAGTAATTACACCTTTACAATTGCATAACAGACACAGTATGCCCAGAATTAATTACACCTTATATACAGCTGTTTCGTCCCGCCAGGACTCATCGGTGATGCTAGGGGCCAAAATGTTGGAAATCGGAACTAGTCCAAACTACTTTTAAACTGAAAGGAGGTCCACAAAAGCCCTGAATCATATGGATTTCAAAATCTAGAGAAGCACTTCACTCCCTATAGGCCAATATTCATCGATATTGAATTTGAATTGAGGTTTTGTTAACACATAAGTGTTTGACTGTGTATGCACCAAGGTCAAACGATCCATGCTTTTGATTTTTTTTTTTATATATCTTAAATGCGCAAACAACGTATTTTGCTATGATGTTTTTGGTTTTGCACGGAAAGCCTTACTTCCACAATCAGTTCTGTTAGAAACAATATTTTTATGTTATAATGTGGGGGATTGATTTTATTTACGTCAAGTTTTACATCTGAAATTTAGCGACGTCTGCTTTTCAATGTAAATTGGACAGATAACGTGAGTTTACATAATGGCACAACGAGAGTAATATACTAGCCTTGATTTATGCAGATGCGTGTAGTGAATACGGTGTAATATGTGTCACTGAATTATATCGGAAATATTATTGGTTTTGCATGCGTTCATAACAAAAGTGTATGGTATGGGGGAAAACCAACCTATGCATTGCTCCATATCCCTCTTAATTGTTGACACAGGGGACTCTGTATTGAAACATATGTTACGCGGCAATTTCTTAACAGACACGGTTTGTGAACGTGATGAGAGGTCAAGTTTACAAATTTTAACCCCTGCTAGGATTGTTTCTCAATCGAATACACAATCGTGATTAGGTTAAAATTCGGCCTAACAACCGTCTCGGTAATAATTATAATTACAAACTCCATTTTTCGCAAAACCTCGATTTTTACCATTAAAAATCATTAGATCGCACCAGCCCACAGTGGTAGATTTATGATTTTGTCTAATGCTGTCTTCGTCTTAATAAGGATAAAAGGACAATTGTACACATTGGAGAATGGACAAACTACATCAGTATAACAAGACAGGTGCGCAGAATTGACAGCATATTCGTATACCAACAATAGAAGAGTTTCGGTTTGATAGAAATGACAAAATATGGGATGTAAGTTAACTATTTAGATTTCCCTTGACACAGAGTATATAATATATCAATATATAATGAGATTCAGATATTCTTCCCTTTTATTCTGTACTGATTATGGGTTGATTATTTATGATAGCAGTCAAACTTCTATAAATCGAACTTCGAAGATTCGAATTTCTCGATGTGTCCAATTTACGGCAAAGTCCGGATATGCCCCTTATATTATACTACACTTTCTAGGATGTAAGCCAACAATTTAGATTTCCTTTGACAGAGAGTATATAACTTATTAACACATTAAAATTATTAAAATGCCTCCCTTTTATTCTGTATAGGTTGATTATTTAGGATATCTTAATATCGGAGTGGAGATATGCATTGTTTCCATTGTTCACGAAGTTACCTTATTGTAAAACAACGATATAACAATAGCAATTACCATAAATTCAGTCTAATAGCAGGTGTTAAGCTATTCTACAACGTATCCGAAACCCTCCCAAAGCACCGGTTTCCATAGGTCACAGTACCAGGTTTTGGAACACACAACAATGATTCTGTCTCCGACTGCAGTGATTGTGACGGCTGATACAGGGTAACAAGCTCCTGTAGGTACTGGGGAGCTGTTCCATTCAGTGCCTTCTATGTGCACACCAAACTTTTGTACTGCGACCGGTATCGTACAGGTAACTAGTGCAATGAATATAGCACAGGTGTGATGTGCTCTCTCTTTCGAGTACGAGTAACCAGACGTGCTGCAGTGTTCTGGACCCTCTGCAGACGGCTAGTGATATTAGCTTGTCAGATATACCACAGAGCAGGGCATGACCATAATCCAACCGAGAAGTAAAAAGTGAATGCACCAAAATTTTGCATGCAACCGCAGTTAAAAACTGCCGGATACAGCCGATGGTTCTGATCTGGTAATAACAGGATTTGGCTGTAGCGTTAACTTGTTTCTCCATGTTCAGTGAACTATCGAAGTTTACCCCTAGGTTTTTAACAGCTGGGACAGTCTCAATAGTTCTGGCTTCGACCTTGAGGTAGAGAGCCATTGTTTGCTGACACTTTGGGAAAAAAGACTATTAGTTCCGTCTTTTCCTGATTAAGCTTTTGCATGTTGGCGTTCACCCAGGTACTGATGTTTGTCGGACAAGCTTTCAGATTATCTGAAATTGTATCCCAACTGTCCTGTGGTTTGGTGACCATGTAAATTTGTGTGTTATCGGCATAGCAATGTTTAGATTTCACATCGATGTTAAGTACAGGAAGTTACTTTTAATCCCCCTGTCATGAACAGTTGAGTGTAAATATGAACACCCTACCATAATTGATAATGAGTGAGAAGAGCCGTTGACCAAATATATTATCAAAGGAAATAAAATCTATTATTAACATCACTTTGGTGCTGTACTGGTTGACACAAATCATGCGTAGCAAACTTTGCCTGTGCAAACTTAAAAATGAATAGGTACTAATGCATATAAAGAGTTCCTTTCATGACTCAAAATAAATACTATTTAATAGAATTGACATTTTATTGATGATAAAGGCTGTTTTCATCTGTATCGAGTTTTGTTTAACAGGCCTTAATTCATTTTTTATTCTTGTAATATCGATTCCAAATTTCTACCCTTGATTTTAATTATAAACCAAAACATAACAAATCAAACTCAATGGCTACACAACTGTGCTGTGTATCGAAATGACGTACCTCCGAGAAACATGATAGCTAACATATTAAAGTAATGAACTCTCTTACTGTCGAAGTCAGAACTTAAGGGCGTTCTCACATTGATATCTAGGGTGTACACATGCATATATTTTAGGTAATAAGCGTTTCAAGGTTTTCTAAGTTAGATTCCTGCATTTTTTTATGTTTTATAGGCGGTTCAGTTTTCCTGGTGAGTAATTATTGATTAGAAACCATGCATTTATGACCTGAGTATTGATTATGTTAATTATTGATTACGCTATAACATCAACGCTAAACAGTGAGAAAACAGACTGAATTTATTTGTTCATCATACTTTAAGAGTAAAACGAATCCAAAGAGTATATGATTAAGATAGACAAATCACTATGTACATTACAATAATTTAGAAAATTATTTGAACACATCTAACGTCATTTACGATTCCACAAGTGTAAGGATATACAACAATTGGATTACTTTGAGGAAATTAACTTTTTCATTTAATTCTGAATCAAAATATTTCAATTATGAACTGGTTTTAAAGTTACAAGTGTCTACTTTCAATGTTTCTTTTGAAACAAATTGTGAGCAACCCATGTGGTAATGAGCAGTCATTAGCACTGAATATAACTCGTGGACTATTCATCGAAGAATCGTTTCACATTGTCACACTCCCTACCCGCCATCAGTGTGCTGCGTTGTGTTTACACTTCAGCCTGTGTAAGTCAGCGAACTATGATCAAGAAGCAAAGACATGCTATCTACATCAACACAATACTGACACGGATCCCTTCGTTGATGTCAGTGCAAAGAGCAGTATGTACTACATGGACTATAGAGATATTCCAAAGGTATGTAAAATGTTAAGTTATGTAATATAGGCAGCACACTGCAACAGCCATCACTGTTGTTATTGTATTCAAACACGGCTGTAGAATCATTAGACAGGAGTCCCGAAATTGAATGCATGAAAGATGAACGTAATATACATACACCTTTAAAGTTTGGACTATATGGAAACAGTATGCCAAAAATTAATTACACTGGATCATACAGTTGTTTCGTCCAAAATGTTGAAAGTCATTAGTTAGTTATTTTAGGTTGTTATAAGTAAGAAATTGTATCTGTGGACCACTTGACTTCTTGCTATATTATCTTAAAAAATGCGATGGGTAAGACAACTCGACCTTTTTTGTAAATGTTTAGTTTATTACATAAAAATACCAGCTTTCAGGAATAAATCTCAGTCAATCTAAAATTAACAAGGCAAAGTATTGCAAGGTAATCAATAGTCCCCACCGTTGATGATTTCTATATTCAATAAATAGTATTTTCATTTCAGTAATAATTACCATAACTTTAGTATGCATATACAATACCTACACCCATCTTTGTAGCCCAAAAACAAAAGATTCAAATATCCCTACCTCCCTACCGTGACGTAACCTCTATCTCGATGACAGAGCCACGGAGTGATCTCCCTTCCTCTTCCTTTTATGGCGCCTGCTGCATGCTGACGCTCGGAGCTTGCTCCAATTCAAAACTTTGTTTTGTCGGTTTGGTTTGAGTGTCAACTCATATTTTTGCGCAGTTTGTGTGCCTTTTACCCATCTGCCC